AAAGAAACAACGACTATAATTAATTTATTTGTTCTAATTAATAAGAATCTATAATATCTTTTTTAAGCATATTATGGATAAGGGGAAAGATAATATTATTAGATAGTGGATAATAGCACTAAACTATTATATGTTCATAAAATCGTATCGATTAAAAAGACTCTTTTATGTCAATAACGATAATGAAATGTCTTTTGGAGTCCTACTAGGCTTTGTACTTGGTTCAATCCTTTATTTACTTTTCACATAGGAGGAACCGATGACGGCAAGAATTCTAACTGGTTCATTTGCAGATGACACAGTTATGCTGACGACTGCAAACGATTCATTTTTAAATAACCAAAAAAAAAAACAACAATAACAATTTGTAATTTTATTGTGAAGCGAATAGTACTTATTCACTCAGCCAACAGAATAGGTAAATTCAGCTAATTCACGTTTAAGACTACAGTAAGCTTCATAAGTTATGTCCATAATTTGTTTCGTTACCGGATTATGGATCATTTGAGTCTGCAACTGTTGGGAAAGAATATAGAACTTTTAAAACTATTTACTAAAATAAATAAATAAATAAATAAATATTAAAACAAAGTCACTAGTATGACTTATTTACAATAACATCACCTTTAGTTGACATATTGTTACGAAAAGTCGCAGTTGCTTCCATAAGGTGACGGCATTTCTGCTCATATTTTGTTAGTTTCATAACATAGACTTCGATCTGTTTCATCAGCATAAGAGAGTCAACATTTATGGGTAAATGTGCCAGTCTCTTCTTCATACCCTCTACTTCGTTTTTCATAACCTTAATTCTTTCCATACGTTTCTCTTCCACGCTTAAGGAATGCATAAACATTGCACGGACCTTAGGATCCATAAACAAAACTTTGTCCATATCATCATTGATTTGAAGAAGTTTTGCTTCGATTGCTTCTGCAGGAAGTTTTATAGAACAGTGTTCTTTCTCGTCAGTGACCAAATCCATTTCTTTAAAGATGAGGCGAACAGATTTTCGAGATATTTTTTTTTAAGCGCAAGCGTACAATTTCGTAAGGTAAAAATAAATTGTACGATGACAACAGCTTTATAAATTGAAGAAAGAAAAGATATATAATTGAATTCGAAATTTCAAATGTTACTTAGTTTTTTTTTTTAAATTTCAAAGATTTTATTTTTTGTGTGGATAAGCTTACATACATCCATACAAAAACACACATTTTTACTCCTAATAGGCATAAACTCTGACATTTATTACTAAGCAATACTATTCTGTTGAACGTATCGAGACGCTCAAAGCTTTTAATTCTAGAACTAAAAAGGGGAGTAGTGGCAAACAGTTAACGAGGAAAGTTCTTGGTACCTACCTAAATATATTTTAAGAAACTCTGATTCATTCACAATTTTTTTTTTTTTAAATATATTCAGAGTAGTGATTTGAGTAATCAACTAAAGAGAATAAATTAGATACTAATTTATTCTAGATACTCTAGTAATCGTTCAAAAACTCGTTCAACACAAAATGTGGTACTATATAAACTCAAAAACATGAAGTCGGCTGCTGTGTTCCAGATATGGAAAGGCTAAGACGGTCTTAAAAATATATATTTACTATAGATTTGCATCTTCAATAGACTTAAGAGTTTAAACCTATATAAGTTATTAAAGCCTATAAGGATTATAGAATAACTGATATCTATTTCGATAATTCTGCTGATGATCAAATTGATTGTCATATTTCTAATCAGGAAAATCCATGAATAAACGTTGATATACAAATTTATTCATAATGTGTTCCTTTATTGTGGAAGTTAAGCTGTCCATTCTTCTGTACAAATAAGCCACAGAATAATATTGAATTTATAATGATAGCTAATGCTGTTCGCTATCACTAAATAATAATCCAGTTGTTTTTACTTAAATTCCAAACTAAGAATGAGAATGGTTTGTACATTTAACAAGCTCGTTTAACCTTTAAATGGGCTCACCTAATATAGCTAATCCTGAGTTGTATTATGTTATGTTATAAAATTGGACGCCTTAAAATGATTTAATTCAGTTTGCTTAGTTGATTTGGAGGTTCTTGAAGTCCAATATTTATATCTAAAAGGGGTGGATGGTGTCTTAACGATAATTTTGATTCATTTATGCAAAATCGTCAGACGCAAAACTGGACGTCATATCGTCAAGAATGTCATATCATACATAACACTACACTATTTATTCGCTTTGTTGAGACTTTTTGATTGCAAATCTATGTTTTCTATTGAAATGAATTGCTTTATAAATTTTTAAGATCCCTGACTCTTTTATTTTATTATTAAATTGTTTTTGTCTATTTTCATAAGAAGCTTAAATCTTCATTACTTGGTGGATTGATAAATACCCGTTTTAAGGATAAAAACACAAAAAGTACCTTCTTAATTCGAGACATTGGGTCCTACGATCTTTAAACATTTGATTAACTTTTAAATAATACGATTTACAAATATACAGTACTCCAAAACAAGTCCTCAGTTTCCCATTCCACTTCATCATTTGATACAAATCTCTTTCCCTTTCAAGTTTGTGAAACAGGTATTACTCACTGGGATCCAAATCTGGAGAATACGGTGGTTGAGGAAGCAATATGTACCGTAATTCATTTAATTTTGTCATGGTTTTCATTGATGCGTTCTTCTGCTAAAACAAAATTTTTTTCTTCCACAAATTTGGTTGTTTTTTTCTTAAATTCCTCACTTAATCGATCCAATAATATGCAATAGTAATCTGATGTTATTGTTTTTCCTTTTTCCAAATCGTCTATGAAAGTTATTCCCCTTGAAATACGAAAGCTAAAACTATTCTAGGGTTATATCTATTGTCTGGGTTGTTGTTTTCCCGCAGGTGTGAAGTAATGAATCCATGTTCCTTCAATTGTCAATTCTATCGAATAAGCGTCGCATAACAGTCAGCTAGATTGTGTATAAACATTTCCAAACAATGTTCTAAATGACGAAGTCGTCTTTTGGTCAATTGTTAGCATCCATCTTGCTGAAAGCGTTTCCATCCCCAAATATTCATGTAAAATATTTGATACATGTTGATATGATATGTTCGTCATTCAATTTGCCTTTTGGATCTAATAACACAATATCGTGGACCACACAATTTCAGTTGTGACCTCTTTTAAACAACCCGGACTCTCTTTATCAAAAAAATTCGTACGACCACGTTTAAATTCAGCTTTCTAATATTTTATTGTTGTTAATCATAGTGCAAGCTTGTCGTCACAGAATCCATTTCTCGAAAATCGTAACTTTTATAGTTGTCGTTTAAAACTTCCCAGATATATAAAATACCTTTAATTGATTTTGTTATGGCGGTGTAATGTCAAGTACTTGTTAATCCACCTAGTACAATGATTTTACATATTTCAAAAAATAATCTATTCTTATACTGTTCTTCTCTTAGTTCTAAGCTTCATTTTGTTTCGGGTCATCTCTCTTGATTCCCGGGTAATTTCTTTATTAACACGTCATGATCACAAGACATTTTTAATGTAAATTTTCCAGATTTTTGGTGCCCTGCCTCTTTTTACCATCTTCTTGCACGAAAGTTTTCTACTGGTCTTCTGATATTCTCCTTACCTGGCAGTTTCAGGAGAGACGATATTTTTGCAAGTTTGAATTTCTTAACTAAAATTAATTTGTTTATTTATATTATCCAACGTTTTTTCTCCTCGTTAGCATTACAGTATCTCTATTTCAGTCGCAGGATGTTCTGTGCTAATTTTTGCGATGGAGCTCAGGATCCCTATATGCTATTACTGGCCTGACGTGTGATAATGTATGGTATTTGAGTATTTTGGATTTAATTGTTATTACTTGAGTAAACTTTTGGGATATTTATAAATGAATTATTTTTCGGAGTATCTTCATGACATTAGTAGAATTCTTGTTGTTTTAATGTTCACTTAGACATCCAATACTGTTAGTCTTCAGGTTTAACAACCGTAACATTAAAACTACTTATTTAAAAGAACTGTTAAGCTTAGTTCTATATGTGTAAAACTAGATTCTTGAAGCAATAAATTCATTGAAATTTGCATAAAATTAAAATTAAACTGAAAAGCAATTTATATCAGTCTTTTAAAATAGTACAACTTTTTTCGCTGTAAGGCTTTGAAAAATATCAAAAGTGTGATATACATAGGCGGAGTTGGTAATTAGTTTAAAATAATGGAGAGGCAATTAATGTATAAATTGCCTGGTACACTGAAAGATCAATGAAGCTAAAATACTTTGTTTCTGCATAAAGTAAAATCCCACGCGGTCTTACTCACATATTAAGAATTTTTGCAAGAGACAGAGTTGCAATGACTAATTTTTTATTTTGAATAATTATGTCTAAATTATGTATGTGTTTAATGAAGTACTGTTCTTTTCATATAATATAATATATTTTCCGGTTAACACAATAATTATAAATTATTGCGATATATATTTATTTATCTATTGTTAGTAACTTTGCTGAAGACGTAAAATTACAAATGAATGTTTTTTATTAACCCTTTAAAACCACATACTTTAAAATTTAACCCATTATTGTCAGAAGCTCAGTTGTTTTATTATTTATGTCAACATCTAACCGGGTTGTATATTTTAACTCAGCCGTTTCAAGTTAATCTAAAATGTATGCCAAATTTCTGACCTTGAAACTATGTTGCTTAATAGATCTATTATGGGTTTCTTTTGCATCGATTTAAAATAAGTAATTTAATGTTTCATTCGCTTCTTGGTTTCACTATTATTTTAAGGAATTTTTATTGACTACATAAACTAATCTTTATTGAATTTAAATAGTGCCTAGTATTCTGTAACTATCATTTAGCCACAAAAAAAAATAAAAACGTTTCAACTAATAGATACCGTTTTATAATTTACCACACAATACAGAAACCATTGAATTATACGCTATTTTCACGACCTCTATTATCTCACGGACTGCCAAATTTTGATCGAAAAACATATTATTTCATCACAAAAACCGAATTTTTTTTTTTTTTTTTCGCAGATAGTCGTTGTATTATTATAGTAATAGAGCGGGTTCGTCCGTACAGTTACGGTAAGGTATCCTTCCTCAAAATAAAACAGAGTTGAGGCTGCTAGCGGGGTATTTAACGGGTCACCACGCCTGCGTTATCACCTTAAGAAAATGGGTCTGTCCAAAGACATTGATGTCGATTCTGCTTAGTAGCAGATGAGACTTACATATATTACGTCCATATATTATTATATATTATATATATACTATATATTATTATATATTATATATATACTATATATTATTATATATTATATATATACTATATATTATTATATATTAGATCCATATCTTATTGGTTATATATTACCTTCGTGATCAGCGATAATTAATCTGTAAACTAGTGCCAAAAGATATTTTTAGGTTTGTAAATAGCCTTAATATATACGGGTTATCTGCACAGTATTTTTACGAATATAGAACTGATTCTGTGATATGTATAGTAAAATAATTACCCACATTTTATGCCTGTACCCAGCGATTTCGGTAAGCCGAGACTGGCGCTTACATAGGAGTTTTATTGAACAGTATAGTGAAATCAAATGATATTTTTAGATTTGTATATTGTCGTAATTTGTCCGGGTACGTTTCCGGGACATCACAATACCATAGATCTTATTGGTGGCAGTGTACAATTTTTTATTCTAATAATAAGCATTGTAACTTATGCCTTAGCTTATTGTTCCTGATTATGCTACTGTGTTCTGTTAATTTTGAGACGTTAATGGAAAATGTTATTTCCGGTTAAATAATTTCAGCAAGTGTAAAATGTTCCAGAAATGCTAAACCAAACACAAATTACATTAATTTCATTTATTAAAGCTACACGAAGCAAAAAAAAAAGATTTAATATATATGGCAAATTAAAAATAAAAGTGCTTTTTATCTACTATATTTAAGGTAATAATGTACAATTCAAGACTCCATACATTTTTATGTACTCATCCATTAATTCCTATTTCTGCCCACCATTTGATTAGACTTATGTATTCGA